GCAGCCAAATACCTTTTCTTTTTAACTTTTTCTGGCTTGTTGTCCATATGACTTCGTTTGACTCTCCTGATGCTCATTTGAGTCAGCAGATATCAATAGTGGCTTTTGGCTGGAAGTTTCATTAATGTTGCCAGTAATGGGTGCTAAAAGCAGTTTATGTCTAATAACAATTTTTTTTTAAAAGGAAAAAAAATAGAGAAGCATAAATACATAAATACAACAAATACACACATCATGCTGTCTATGCATTCATGAAGCTATATAATGAGGTAGTCTATTCTGTTAGCATAGAATTAGCATGGCCGGGTATTGAAAAGCAGCAATTAATTTGCATAAATTGAACATACTATGTGGTTAAGAAAATTTTAAACAAAACGATGTGTTCTGGCACAATATATAAGCAAGGGGTATTCTAACGGCAGATGACTGCAGGAAAAGATGTACGGCTTGTTCAAGCTGTTAGTGTAGTGACATGATTTAGAGGGGTGTGATTATAGTTTTATAAGGTAAAACTAAATAGAATACAAATCAAATTGTGTGAAATCTAAATAGAATAGAATGTCTCAAATGGTATGTCAATAATATACAGCCTTCCTTCTGAGTCTTTGCTGCATAAAACAATTTTCACGTGCTGGAACCCGCAATATTATAAAACACATATTAGACCGTTTGTTTGAAAATAAAGTGCTTAAAAGTATGTGGCCATTTAATAGTACTATGCAGAGCTTTTAAACACAGCTCTATTGACCAGTTAATACGTGTGCACACATTCTAGACCAAATCAGAAGTGCCTGTCCTTTTAAGCATTGGGGTAAGGCAATAAGAAGCACATTGCCCTGCCATGGTGGTTTAGTGGCTAAATAAGGCACTCGGCCACCCCACCGCAGTGGTCTAGTGGCTAAGGTACTCGGCTGCTGACCCGCCGGTCGCGGGATCGAATCCCGGCTGCGGTGGCTGCATTTCCAATGGAGGAAGAAATGTCATAGGCCCGTGTGCTCAGATTTGGGTGCACGTTAAAGAACCCCAAGTGGTCAAAATTTTCTCCACTGCAGCGTCTCTCATAATAATGTGGTGGCTTCGGAACAATAAACCCCGCATATCATTATCATCATTAAGAAGTACCTTATTAAACTAATATGTGCATGCTGTACTAGAGCTAAAATGCCGTGCTACTAAGCTCGAGGAGAGTTGGTTTGATTTATGACTGCGCCAGCTGCATTCCAGTGGGGTCGTGGTGCAGTAACACCCATGTTCATTGCATGATAAAGAAACCGAGGTGATCCACATGAACTCGAAGTTCCTTGCTTGCCTCACTCTTTGCTTTGCCGCACTCTTTACAAAGTGCCATATGTACCTTAGATTGTTTCAGCATTTCAAGAGAACAAAGAGCAAAAGTTAATTATGATAATGTACACAAACTCAAGTTGCCAATAATGGATATTCCAGTATACGAGCAAAATGAAAGCTATCTTTGTTCTTTAATTTTTGCAGCTTTAGATGTCATGTGCCATTCTCCCATGACATTATAACGTAGTACAGTACCAGGAGCTGGCATTCCTGTAGGTTATGCAATAGGGCAGTATGCACTCCAATCGTGGAGGCTGTTGCAATTATGAGATGACAAAGGAGCGAGGGCATGAGCTACGGCCTCTGGCGCTGGCTCATTCAGTTGTTCAAATACCTTTGATGTAGCCAGTTGTCTGGGTCCAAGTCTCTCCTTTACATTTTCTACACTTCGTTCTTGTGCCGAAACATAGTCCATAATTAATCGACGTAGCGCGTTTTAAAAAATAAGACAGGGGAAGGAACAGAAGGGTCCCTTCATGTCTGTTGTCTGTTGTCTGTGTTCGTTTGTCTGTTGTTTTCGAATTTCATGAGCATATATATGTACGCTCCTTGAAATAAAATTTTGTTGGAAGTAAGCGCTCCCTTCTGTCTCTTCCCCTGTCCTATGTTTTAAAACGCGCTACGTCGATTAAATATGTCTTACCAACATGCCCAACTTTATACTATAGTCCATAATGTCGATTCTATCGTTACAAAAGCTTCTATGCGCCTCTATAGGCATGTCAGCTATTTGGTATGCTGATGCATTGTTTCCTTGGTTGTAACACCTCTCCTATGGCTGTGCTAAGCTAGAAATAATTGTAAAATGTAATTCATTAGCTTTTTGTTTCTTTCTTTTATTGTATAGTACTCAACGAATCGAAATGTGGCCAAATTTTTTAGTATATTGACTGGTACGCACAGTTTCTCGAGATAACCACGTCATGTCGCAACAAATCTTGTCTCTAGAGATACTGTTGGCTCTGATCTATGCGTTTGAGCTGAAATTACTTCAATTTGACGTGAACTGAAGACTGAAATGAAAGTATGTATGTTACACAGCTCTCAATTGTCCTTCTCCAATCTGTGAGTACTGTTCTTGCAATATTGTTTGAGTGCACGCCACACAATGCGTTTTGAGGCAATGATAATTATGCCACTTATTTATGTCAGGTCTGTTAGACAACTGAAAGCAATTGCCACATTCTAATGTTGCTATAGGTAATATCGAACAAGTTTTATTGGTAGCACTACAGGGCCTTTTTAGCACAGCTCCAGCAGCGGTTGTCACATGTGCCAAACAGCATAGCTAAAGTTTTTAATATTGTCTTCACGAGTTATTGGCTTCTCACATTAGTGGTCATGCCCTTAAATGTACGAGTTCTGCTATTCAAGTTTTCTTTATCATTTGTGACATGGGAAAATAAGTGAAAGTACCAGTAATAACTCTAGATCTTTCTTTAAAAGAAAGCTTGGAGAGCTCTTCTTGCTATTATTGTGTTCAACTTGTTTGGTGTTGTATATAAGTTTTTAAACTTCATGCCATAATGCTTAGTGTAGTCTTGTCTTCCATAAAGAACTGTACAGCACTAGGTTGCTTAAATTTTATTGTAACTAGCCGAATGCATTGCTATATTGCTCATGAGTTTGCTCATTCTTGTGGTAGGCCTACTATAGCAACACTCTGCTGATGATGAGAGTGACAGCTCTCTTAGCAGCACAGTACAATTTAAATACATCATGGCATTTCTGGCTCACTTAAATTTACTGTTGCATAGAAATGTAAACTGATTAAAAGGAACACTGATAAATCCCACTAAAACATGGCCTGGTATGGTCAAAGCATCAAAGTATGATTAAAATTGGCCTAACTTTATGTTGCACATTTCTGTTAATTGACATTAATATGTTAATGGCGTTATCGATACTGCAGGTCCGGCGTGATATTGTTATGGAGCAAGTCAGAGGTACTAATATCGATACCCAGCCCCTCCACCACAACGGTTACAGATTATATGGGTTTGTTACAATGAAGTCAGGGCTTCGGCAGGCAAGGAACGATTAATTGCTGCCGATCAGCAAACTTTCTCGCACCCGTTCTTATTCTTTGTTCTTTGTTCACATTCTTCTAATACCATATTACAATATGATAAGTTCAAAGGAAGAGGGTTGGGCAGAAAGTTTTTGAAGCACTGCTTTATCGTAGTTGACCACAAGCTTGAATCATTGAATTACTGGGAGCCCACATCAACATGCGGCCCGATATCCCGAGGGGAAGGCGTATGCGGCAGTGAGCATCAACCACGAGGGCACTATCGCCAACTCGACAACGGTCCAGGTAACGGTGGTTGAAATAGCAGAGCAAGTGGCGATTGCATTGGCCTTGCTTGATAACAGGAGGTCCACAGTTTACAGTGACTCGAGATCACCGGTTTGAGCATTTGCCAAGAGAACAATATCGGAACCAGCTTTGTGAATTCTTCGGGACGAAGACATCGAGCCACACACACTTGTTTGGTTCCCAGCTCATATGGGACGCATTGAGGGAGCCCCACCTAATCTCAACAAGTCGGCCCACATAGCTGCGCGAGGACTAGTAAACCGCGTAGCTATCGGAAGGTGCAGCGCTGATATCTTGGAGAACCGTGACACTCCCACCTCGTATAATGAACTGCAAAAATATTTAAATCTGGCACGGAAACAATACCCTCCATCACACGGAAAACTAAGCAGACCCTAGGCTCTGATATTCGGTCTTCTTCAGGTCGGGGCGTACTGACCTGAATCCTGTGCCCTGCGCTATTAATCCTGCGCTATTGAACAAAATTTATCCGAAAATACAGCCAACTAATACATGTTCCTTCTGCGACGATATAGCTATCTTGGAACATATGCTCTGGCGGTGCCCCACGTTACACTGTGGGGAAATCATCACGCCGTCCAAATGGGAGGATGCTATTGCAAGCTCCGGACTCGAACAACAGCTATGGGCAGTCCACCGGGCCCGCGGCGCAGCAGAGAGACTTGGTCTTTCTATTCCGACGTGGGAGCGGCCTGCAACGAGCTAAAGCATGTTCAAGGACCAAATAAAGTTCATCCATCCAATACATTTTGATGAAACAAGTACAAAATAGGAGACAACTTTGTGAAGCAAATTGCATTTTTCCTTGTACAACATCTGTTAGGTTTCATACAAACTAGCAGCTAGTCTAACAATCTTGCATGTTATAAATATCTTCGTTTCGGGGGGGGGGGGGGGGGGGAATGGACTTGGCTTGCTATGGGCATAATGTTCATGTGTTGTGCCCGCTCAACCTTGACTTTCACTGTGACATCATAAGAAGCTCTTGAGCCCTGCCACTTCATGGCAGTGCATCTAAAGCTTCTTTGTGAAACAGTGCAGAGGGCGCTAGATTACCTTTTTACAATCCCCAGATTGCATTTGCTGTAGCCAGGCATTAAACCTTGTCTGGTGCTCAGCAGCAGTTTTGGTATGCATCCAGTCAATGCAAAAGAACAGCTGGAAAAACAAATTATTTTGTAGTTCACATTCAGTATGGCATTGTAATATTTAACATGCTGCTTGGGATTAAAATGCTGTTTGTGTCTATGTATGCATTTTTATTGACAGCACTCTTCTTATTTCCATAACAAATGTTCATTTCTTTTTTCAGCACATGAAAGACAAGTTCTGGAACTTCGTCTTCTACAAATTTATCTTCATTTTTGGTGTGATGAACGTTCAGTACATGGATGAAGTGGTTCTCTGGTGCAGCTGGTTTTCTGTCCTGGGTTTCCTCCACCTCCTGGCTCAACTTTGCAAGGATCGATTTGAATATGTGAGTTACTGTGGTTGGCGCAAACTATATATCATGTGAAATCAACAGTCTCGTGCACGACATGGTAGGGGATAAGTTTCTGTTATTATGAATATATCCCTGTAATAGTTAACACTCTCTTTTTCTCTGCTTTTTAGTTAGTGGCAATGAGATTTTCTTTTTTTTTACTACAGGGATATTGTGATAAGGAAGACCTTAAAATATGATGAACTGTATTTTTTAACTGTAACTGTAAGTGTAATTGTTAGCTCTGCCTTGGCATACACAGGGTAAATACATTATCATATATATTTATCCACTAAGTCAGTGGGTAACGGTAGACATTCAAGGGGTGTTTTTGGAGCACCAGTTTGACAAGAGGATTTGTCTTTGTCAGGGTAAAGACAAGTTTTGACTATTCTTTTTGTCATTACGTTGCCTCTCATGGCATTTCTTTCCAATCAAATATTAAACACTTAGAGACATTACCAGGTAAGTTGGAATGTTTAGCTGGTTCCTTTCTGCAGCTACTGCTGACAATTTTTCTATAAGACTGTCCTAGACTTCGTAGTGTTCAGTGCAGATTGTAACAGATAATCTCAATATATGTTCTAAGAAACAATGAACTGTTTGGGGCGTACAACTGGTTCTTCTTCTTCTTCTTCTGTTTTTACTTCTTGTGACTGACCAGAGGTGCCTTGCTATGTATTTATACAAAAGGATTGAACTTTTTTGTGTTATGTCTGCATCTTTTCCCCAAGAAAATATAGTTATATGGAAAAGATAATAAAAGTAGATGAATATTTGTAGCTTGGTTGTACGTGTCTTTGTAATGTCTTAGTGAGAGAACCATTGTCATAGACTGAGACTGTGAGGTCTCCCCCATTAAATCATGATAATTGGGGGTGGGGTATAAATTCGTTAATATAGTCTTTATTATTTTGCCAGCAGCATGTGGAAGCTCATGTATATCAGTTAAGTGACGTTAGTGGGCCTGGCTACAGCAGCTTGTGGTGTTGACTATGTACAAGTGTGTTAGATCTATACAGTCAAACCTTGTTATAGCAAAATGTGTTACAACAAAGTATTTTTAAGAAACCATGTATTTGTAGTTTCTATTGATTTTAACATACATGTACATGCATTTGAAACCTTCTTTAATGAAGTCAAATTGTGGTGTCAAGAGATAGATCAAACTAAATTCATCTCTTAAGCTAAAATATTTCTGCCCTCTTAAGTTTGCACTTGACTGTTGAGCCAATGGACTTCTCTCACATCCATGTAGTAAGCGTTGCTACAGACTTACAGTCTGTGTTCACTGGCCGTATTCACCATTGAAACAGCTCAGATAGCTATATTAGTGACAATGTTAGCACACTGGGTTGTGCCGCTCCTTCACGACAGACCTTTTCCCACTCTTTGACTGTATCAACATTTTGATGGTTTCACGGAATTATAGATAGCCATCCACAAACCACAAGCAAACAACTATGGTATTAGAGGAGAAGAAAGCTATCATAAAGGTTATGAAGGCTGTCACACCAGGCGCTAAAAAACATGCAATGGGGACACACAGATTGTTTTACTGCATTATCAAAATTTTATTGCACACTCGGTTGTATACAGCATTACTGTGAGCCATTGCACCATCTTCTTTGCATGTTTAAGTTATGAAGCCTTATCAGGCATATATTCCTAGTAATGAACAGTCATTTATATAGTAATGAAACAGCTTTGTCTCCCCCTTCAACGTTATTATAATGAGATATAACTCTACCAGCCTAGGGAAACACTTCTAATTCCCTTGTATGTTTTCGCAAGTGTAGTAAAATATGCAGTAAATATGCAAAAGTGCCTTGCAGGAAATACGAGAGGCACCTTTTTTTTTTCATGGGTCGGGAAAAGAGTACAGCTTAGCCTTTAAGAGGCTACCCTGGAGATTAAACTTTTTTATTTTTCAAGATATCTGGATGAAACTTTCAGTGCATGTTCACTACACTAAAAACTAGAGGAACTGCAAAGTTTGATGAAGCTGTGTTTCTTAGCTTTAGAGTTATTAGAGATTAACTGGATTGAACTGGGTTGTTCACATGGGTACCTGAGGAAGAGTCGTGAGAAATCTCAGGACATAGTAGAAAGTATGAATTCATTGTGGTCATTCTTTGATAGATATTCCAAGGTTTTTAAAACTTGAAGCCATTTTAAAAATTTCTCCTCCAAAAAATGTTATACTCAACTTTGGATTTGATGTAGCTAGTAATTACCAGATCCATCAAAACTTCATTATTCACTATAAATTTACAACACCAATTTTCAAAAAAAGGAGCTTGTTGTAACCCAGCAAAGTTATTAAAAAACAGAATTAAAAAAATGGCACACAAATCTAATGAGCGGTCTTTGAGCTTCAGTTTTCCTCAGCACCACAAACAAAAAAAATCTATTCTGAAGAAACGGGCCTAGAAAAGTCAACACTTGCGTTTGGTGCTGTCGAGCGTCACGCTCGATAGCACCAATTAGGAGCACGTACTGAGTTCTACGATTTTGAAAACACTCACTTCACTGGATTTGCAACTCCAGCCACACTCGATGTGTCGGGTTCTCAACAGGGGACCGCTCACAGAACAGTTCTGCCGCTGCAAGTGTCTATGCAGTCGGCAGTCGCGGCAGAACAGCAGAATCTTGACACTTGTACAAACTACATAGCTAGCCTCCGCATACAGGACTTCTGCACTGTCTTTGGCTTCATTACCAGCATCACGCGCAATAACTAAGATGAAGAACACAGAAATAATGCAAAAAGAAATCAAGAGAAAATGATTGAAAAGATAGTGCAAGAGGCAAAAAGTGGCGCAAAAGATGCCGGCCGAGATGGACATAGCGGAGCAACAAAAGTGCAAGCGCGCTTTCTCCCGCAAACTATGACTGCGTAGCTCTTGCCAATCAGGGCTTCGCATTGCTTCGCGGTTAAACGCCAATAGCATCTCAACCATGCCAGCAATGCCCTTCTGCAAGACAGCAAATGAGAGGGAAAGAATCCACGCTCCTATATAACAACACCGCGATGGCACGGGTCAACCGCGTGAGCTGGTATGGGCTTGTACACAAAGTTTAATTTGATTTCTGCGTTTTAGTGTTTTGGATGCTGCTGCGGCCTCGAAAATAGCATTTGTTCTTTTCACTTTCTAATTACAGAATAGGTAGTTTATGAGACATACAACCCAAAAATTTGATTTTTCAAAAATCAGCTTTTTTGCGATTTTTCGGTTTGCAAGGGCCGTGTCCTCCCTTCATTTGAAACCACAGCTTCCTCCTGGCTAGGCACATATCTGTCAAATGTTTTAAGCTTATTATTGTGCTCCATTCGGGGCATTTTGTCAGTTTTCACCATGGAATGACTCCTTGCTTGCATATTAACTGGCCTTAAGAGGACCGACAACCAACCTTTATGGTGCTTATTTTCTTTAGCCCAACGGAAAGCTTACTGGTGAGTGTGTCTAATCACGGAACGGTAACATGGAGAACGCTGCAAAATATTTGTCATCAAAATTTTTTTATCTGCAATGAATAAGAAGTCCTAAACACAAGTGATGATCCATGCTATAAATAGTGAGTGAGAGAGAGTGGTTCGTGAGTGCAGCACCTTGCTGCGCATGCGTACCTTCGTGCGTCTGCAACGTAGTTCGGCATGTTCCACTGTTTGACCAAAAAAGCAGCACCGCTTCTCACCAAGCAACTTCTTTTACTTCGTAAGCAGCACGAAATGGAGGGGGGGTAGATAATAATAGACGTACTCTCAATTTTCAGGATAGTGCACATGACCGCATCAGACTGTGTGACTACGTACAGCCATGGCCGGGCTAGACAGCACCTGCATGCTCGCTTCTTATGGCCTTCACATCGGGTGTAGTACATGTATTTCGCAGCTACTTCGGAGGGGGGGGGGGGGGGGGGGGGGGCGCTACGACCCTAACCTTTTTCTGCCGCTCCGTGCAGCACGCGCAACGCCAGCACATGAGTGCGGGTGCACTTCTTCACTCACCACACATTGAAAAACAAGTGAAAAACAAGGGAGTATAGTCCTCGAAGACAGTAGGCACGGAGTCGGGAAACAATTTTTTGATGTAGCAAGCAGGCCCATGCGTTTTTCTCAAAATTGTTCTTTTTAGCCATTTTTTACTATTCTAAGACTCGCGTCACCCCTGAAGCAAGATCTTTGTGAGGCTTCTTTGCTCTTAGAATCAAATAGGAAGGATAGTCCTCGAAGAGAGTAGGCGCGGAGTCTGGAAGATGTTTTCTGCTGCGGCACACTGGCACATGTAGTCTTCATAGCGGAAGTATTTGCTGCATACAACAGTCGATGCAGCATGACTTGTTCTTGATGATGAGGTTGTTTCTCATAATATTTTTTTTGCAATTTAGCTCACAGCTCAGTATTACTTGGGCATTGGTGAAAAGAAACACCGGGTGTTTTACCCAAACGGGACTTGTAATACGGAACACAGCAATACACTATCACACAGCTAATATATATCTATGTACGTACTGAACGTACTGAAGGTTTTAGGACCATCTTCTCAAGTCAATAAATCACTGCAGACTGAACACTGAGAAAGCACCGAACAAAATGCAGCCGCGTTGGGCAAATCCCAGAATAAAGCAAGCCACACTATAGAGAAAAAGAAATTGATGACGACCTCCTTGTCGCACTAAGCCACAAGAGAATTCATACAGGTTTCTTAGAAAAAAATCTGCTTATTTGTCAAAAAGTTGAAATGCTGTCAATTTTTTTTTCTAAACATGTTCTTCCATGAACTAGATGGATAGATAGCGCAGAACTGATTTGCACAAGAGAGTTTTAGTTCTGGGGAAAGCGGCTTGCAAGCGTAAGCAGCTGCATTCTTCGCATTCGTCATGAATGTGGCTTGCAGTTAAAAGGAATGTAAAAGAACTTGGGATCCCCGGAATAAATTATTCCAGGTGGTGTCAACATCTTAACAATGCACGTTGCCACTCTCAGGGTG